CACCTGTTTTGGGTTTACTGGTTTCAAGAAGCACTGTCTGATGTGAACCATGCCTCGCAGAAAGAGCTCTCAGAAGACCTACGAAAAAGAATTGTTGACTTGCATGAAGCTGGAAAGGGTTACAAAAGTATCTCCTTGAGCCTTGATGTTCATGTGTCCACGGTAAGACAGACTGTCTACAAATGGAGAAAGTTTAGCACTGTTGCTACTCTCCCTAGGTGTGGTCATCCTGTAAAAATGACTGCAAGAGCACAGCACAGAATGCTGCATGAGGTAAAGAAGAATCCCAGAGTGTCAGCTAAAGACCTACAGAAATCTCTGGCACATGCTAACATTTTTGTTAACACATCTACAATAAGGAAAACATGAAACAAGAATGGAGTACATGGGAGGACACCACGGAGGAAGCCATTGCTGGCCAAAAAGAATATTGCAGCACGTTTGAAGTTTGCAAAAGAGCACCTGGATGTTCCACAGCACTACTGGCAGAATATACTGTGGACAGAAGAAACCAAGATTGAGTTGTTTGGGAAGAACACACAACACTATGTGTGGAGAAAAAAAGGCCCAGCACACCAGCATCAAAACCTCATCCCCACTGTAAAACATGGCGGAGGGAGCATCATGGTTTGGGGCTGCTTTGCTGCCTCAGGGCCTGGACAGATTGTTGTCATTGATGGGAAAATGAATTCCAGAGTTTATCAAGACATTTTTCAGGAAAACGTACGACCATCTGTCCGCCAACTGAAGCTCCGCAGAGGATGGGTGATGCAACAGGACAATGACCCAAAGCATACAAGTAATTCAACAGAACAATGGCTGCAACAGCACAGAAAACGCCTTCTGGAGTTTCCCAGTCAGAGTCCTGACCTCAACCCCATTGAAATGCAACTACAGGAAACGTTTGGTTGAGGGTTATTGCTGCCAAAGGAGGGTCAACCAGTTATTAAGTCCAAAGGTTCACATACTTTTTCCTCCCTGCACTGTGAATGTTTACATGTTATGTGCAATTAAACCATGGCAACATCTAATGTTTGTGTAGTATTATGTTCAGCAGACTGTGTTCTTCTATTGTTGTGACTTAGATGACGTTCAGAGCACATTTTATGCCCAATTCATGCAAAACTCCACATAATCCCCAAGGGGTTCACATACTTTTTCTTGCAACTGTATATATATATATGTATATATATATATACTGTATACACTCACCGGCCTCTTTATTAGGTACACATGTTCAATAGCTTGGTAACACCAATCACATGGCAGCAACTCAATGCATTTAGACATGTAGACGTGGTGAAGACGATTTGCTGAAGTTCAAACTGAGTATCAGAATGGGGAAGAAAGAGGATTTAAGTGACTTTGCATGTGGCATGGTTGTTGGTGGTATACGGGCTGGTCTGAGTATTTCAAAAACTGCTGTTCTACTGGGATTTTCATGCACAACCATCTCTAGGAATGGAAAAAAAGAGAAAATATCCAGTGAGCGGCAGTTGTGTGGATGAAAATGCCTTGTTGATGACAGAGGTCAGAGGAGAATGGGCTGACCGTTTTGAGATGATAGAAAGTCAACAGTAACTCAAATAACCACTCATTACAACCAAGGTATGCAAAATACCATCTCTAAACACACAATACATTGAACCTTGAGGCAAATGGGCTACAGCAGCAGAAGACCACACTGGGTGTTACTCCTGTCAGCTAAGAATAGGAAAGGAGGCTACACTGGGTGGCCTCGCCCCTTACATATTTAAGAACTGTCAAGCCAGCGGAGCAGTCAAACAGCGGGGGCCAGCATTGAGAGCAGGGCCTTTTTTCTTTTGGGTGGTGACGGCAGGCATCGCGATTAACATTGGATCAACTTTGGAAGACATTTTTTTTTTTTCTACACTTTTTTTTGCGAATGGGTTGGTTGTGGTACCATATACCTCATACTCATTCACATGGGTGGGGCCTGGATCTGGGGGCCCCCTTGCTAAAGGAGGCTTCCAGATTCTAAAAAGCCCCTCGCCTACAGACCTCCACAACCACTGGCCAGGATTGTGAGGAAGAGGCCCTTGTCCCCATCAACATGGAGACAAGATGATCTAGGGGGGAGCCCCCCTTCCCCAAAGCACCCCCCCATGTTGACGACATATGGCCTAGTATGTTCAGGGGGGGACACTCGCTCTTCCCCCCCTTTCCTTACTTGCCTGGCTGCATGCTCATATAAGGGTCTGGTATGGATTTTGGGGTGCCTCACCCCATTTTTTTTATTTTGGCATGGGGGTTCCCTTTAAAATCCATGCCAGACCCAAAGGGCTTTTTTTACATTCAGCTGTCATCGGGTAACCCCACTGACAGCTGATGACTCATAGGTTGTTAAGGACTCTGCGGCCACCAATTCCTTAACAATCCATGACAGTACTGACAGATGATTCCAGTACATACCGCATGCTGGACCACTACTTAATTACTGCATGCATTTAATTATTTATTTCCATCGGTGAATTGACTTTAAGGTCTTTTTATGTGGTCTTTACCGAGTGTTTTTGCTATTTTTTGATGAATACCGCATACTAGCAATAGTGAATTGGCTTTTTCAGTATCACATGCGATATATGGTCATGTGACTGACTTAACTCATGCGATAAGCTTTAGTGAATTGTGCCCATTGACTTAAAGGTAGAAGAAACCAGACTAATGAACATACCATGATAAATTCATAGGTAAAATTAGGCTCTGTAAGCAGTTTCACACTACTCTTGTCTAGGAAAATGTTTCCCCTCTTTAGGACAACTTATCACCTGAAAGTGAGTGGATTATGGTATAGGGGCTGTGAGGGGGGTAACCCTTTCATAACTAGAGGTTAATGAAGCTAGATGCCCGGACTAGCTCTATACTGGATGCATAAAAAGCAAATATCAACACCAGCACACGCTACGTAGTAAAATAATAAAGATTAACATCATTCACTTATAATTTGCCATGCATTTAAAAGGTTAATCAACACTATTACTTACTTCTTGAAATGCATTTAAAAAAGGGCGCATTATATTTTTATTTCATGCTTTGTTTTATTTTTTATTAACATGCAGCATTGTATTTATAAGGGCAGTGAAACAATCCTATTAAGTGAAACACTTTAGGAGGGTAGGTGCTATTGCTTTTAAGGGACAAGATAGAGGGGATGTAATGGAATGGATGGATACAGAGAAGAAGCAGAGGTGAATGAGGCAGAAAGAAAGTAAAATGAGCAGATACAGAGAAAAGGTGTTAAGGTGACAGGAAGAATAGAAGAGTCATTAGAGAGGAAATAGAGGAGAACACATGATAATGGGGCAAAGGGACCAATACACAAATAGCCATTTATGTGATCACATATAAATATCAAAAGCAGTTCAGAATATTTTATCAAACGTAACTGTGGGATAGTCCTCTGTAAAGAGTATACAGTATTACCCTGACCTTTATTAAAACATTAATCCTAACTGTAAATACAGTATGGCATGAATCAGTACACATGCATGCAGACGTAAGCAGTATTGTTGCAGCATTTCACAACTGGGGAATAAAATATTTATAACCATGCGTGTATGTGTGTGGGCGTGTGTGTGTGTGTGTGTTTGTGCCCATTTGCTCATTTTGTTGTATCATTCTCTATGAAAAACCTAAGGAGTAACTCCACTTTTGTGGGAAAAAATATCACAAATAAATAAAAAATATATATAGCATATACAATTGCAACACAAGCCATATTGTAATATACAGTAACCTTGTTAAACATGATCTTTCCTTTTCAAACTGCTGTGTTGAACATTTTCTGTAAAATGAAAAGCAATATGGCAACCTGGGGGTCTTCTGCCAACAGACAGTGTATGGAATGCCCCCAAGGATGTCATTTCCTGCTTTTGTGATTGGCTTACAGAACAAAGATACAAATCAGATTATGGGCATCCTTTGCAATAAATGTTGGTGAAATACTCCCAAAGGGTTAATTATGTCTAAAGGGATTCAGACCCTGCCACTTTCCCCATTAGAACTCTGCAAGTGCAGCAGCTGATCAGTAATGAAAAAGTCACTCCCATTCACATTCACTTTGTACATGGAAACAAACAGCTATTTCTTCAGAATAACAAAAGGTAGGAATCTACAACAAAGTTTGTTAAATTTTGCAATGTACATAGATCACCCAGAGGAGGATGCTTTTTCTCAGCAAAAGTGTTTCCATAACTTGTAAATATAATTGACTATATTTGTCTCAGAAGTTGGATGCTTCTCATCTTCGCTAATTAGCTTATGGTGTTTGTTCCCACCTTTTTTTAAAGTCGGGTACAACGTATAAATATGAACCTTTGCCCATTCAATTTAAAATAGAAACACAAGGCAAAACGTTTGTGTGTGTGTGAAAAGCTTCATGGGATTCATAGGCTGATTGCAGGACTTCACTGTCAGACATAGAGCTAATAAACTACATTCCCAGAGGAGCCGGCAGATGGGCGGGGGCAAATAAATACAGAAGGGTGGGAACTGGAGGACATGAAGTGGATGGAGAGAGCAAGAGAGCAGGTGTACGGAGAGGATCGTGCAGGACGCCGGAGATCCCAGCTGGGCCAGACCGCAGAAAATGGAGGAGGGAGGGAGAGTTGCTAACCGCTGACACCGCTGACAAGTTTGGCAAACAGCCCTGTGAGCAGGTGAGCTGGAGTGCTGCTGTCCAGCATAATCTCTGAAGGAGGAACCATGAAGAAATGGGGGCCCCTGTCTACAGAGAGACTTTCTGCCACCTGACTGAGGCTACAGATCGGGTGAGAGAATTGAATACTCTAGTCATCTAAGTTGCACCTGACATTATCAAATCCTGTTACTTTCTACTCAGCCTAACTACTTTAGTTTTTCAAGTTACACGTGCTAAAGCCCAAGTTGTTCAGCCTACAAGCTATTACAGGTCCAACATATCCAATCACAAGGGTCCATTTGCCCTCTGCAGGCCCAACTGTATTGTTGCTCCCCATTCAGGGGCGGACTGACCATTCGAGCACTAGGGCACTGCCCGAGCGCCCGGGGTCAGTAGGGGGCCCCATGAAATGCCCCTGGTACCTTTTATAGGCTTTTTTGGGTGTGCTTTGAGTGTGGGCAAGGACACAGGGGCCCCATGATCCCCTATTGCCCGGGGGCCCCATGAGTTGTCAATCCGCCCCTGCTCCCATTACAGTCTGCCCATTTGGCAGTGCGCTCCTCCACTGCTGCAGTTTGCTACTGTGGCTCAAGGAAGAACCAATTTCTACAGAAGTGTGTTTTGCCCATTTTTAATCTCTGCCAAATCCTATGCTACACCCTGTGTGTGCTAAAGGGGTACTATTTAAATGCAACATCACCTAAGGGGGTAGCTCCTTTCCTTTGTGTTTACTCTCTATTAAGGAACTTCTACCCTTTTGCCTCAAGGAGGATTTGAATCCTTATGTGCACCAACTAGGGCCCCAACAAGCACACAGATACTGCAGTTAAAGAGATATTAATCTACTTAATTGAAAAGCTCTTCTTTTCCTCAGTATGAGACTCAGTCCTCATCCACTGAGAGCCTGAAGTGAATTAGCCTCTCCGCTTGGTAGTTTTTTTTACTCACTGGGCAAGAAACCTCTCAGGACTTGGGCTATTGTTTAAATTCTGATTTTAGGACATCTAGAATTGATTGAGATTGTGCTATATTGTGACCTTTACTTGAAGTTGCAAGAGTGATACCTGTTATCCTATGCAAATATTTTTTCTGTTGCTTTACTGTGCCTACATTTGATCTCAATACAACCAAAATATCAGTTCACTCTAAATTGTGTGTGAGTCTATTTCATGGTTGCAGCCAGAGGATTCTCCTGGAGAGAGGTTTACAGTGGTGTCAGCAGGGGTCTGGCTCCCAAAGCTGGATCAAGAAAGACAGGGAACCTGAAAATTACTCAGTGGATATATATATCCACATATATATATATATATATATATATATATATAAATTACATAATCTCTGTTTTCAGCTGCATAAGGGGCTTAGAGAGATGGGGGTGGAGACTCCCATGGGGTAAATGGGATGGACATGACAGCAGCAGGTTGAAAAATGCATATGGGAACAGTCCAGTTAAAAATGCAGAGATAGAAATACATAACATCACAATATATGTGATGAATTGCCGGGGCAGGGGGTGTTTTAGCAAGAGGCAGATAAATAGCAGTACACTGATATTCCCAGTGAACAGTCTGCCCTTTGAATTCATCCTAACGTGGTCAGTTTGCACCTCTTCTTCTTTCCATGGGTCATACAAGATGCTGAGCCAGTGCATGATGTGTTTGTAGGCCTGTTATTGCTGCCATGACCCCCACCTTACACTGTAGAGCCTCAGTGACATCAGCAGAAGTGCATTAGTAGTCTTTACCTCCAACCCTTGAAGTTAAAGGAGAAAAAGGGGACATAGCAGCCATGTGACCACTAAGATTCTGGTTCACCACTACCAAAGGTTTGTGGCAAATCCCCGGTGTGAGTTCAAAGTAGCCATATTTTCAGTTTGGGTTGGAACTTTTAGGGAGAGCTGACAATTCTATGGTGAAAGAGATAGTTTTTTTTATTTATGTATTTATTTATTTATTTACTTTTGCCATTGTTATATTTCACCTGTGGAGGTGCCCAATTTCCCATGCCTTTTGTTTTGCAATAGCTTGCTTATTAGCCTTACAAATGCAAGTGGCCAGGATTAAATAACATTATTTGGGCAGCACAGTGGCTAAATGGTTAGCACTGAGGAAGAGGCAAGTCCTCGAAACGCGTCAGCCTATTGGATGTCTACACTCCCTATTGCGGACTGTTACTCAGCGCGGTGTTGACCCAGCTGTTCTTTATGATGTGCCTTGACTATATTGTCATTTGTGAGTACAACACCTACTTTATTTTTTATTAAACATTTTTTATGGTAATGCGCTAGGCCTGTGCGCCCTCTTTTTTTCTTTCCTCATTCGCTAAATGGTTAGCACTTCCACCTGGCAGTACTAGGGTCGTTGGTTCAAACCCCAACTACGGCACCACCTGCCTGGAGTTTGCATGTTCTCCCTGTGCCTGCGTGGGTTTCCTCTGGGTACTCCAGTTTCCTCCCACACTCCAAAGACATGCTGGTAGGTGAATTGATTCCTGTCCAAATTGGTCCTAGTATGCATGAATGTAAGTTAGGGACCTTAGATTGATTGATGGAGGCTTCATCTCCCTGTTACTCTAAGACACAGGCTGGAGGGGCGTGACACAGCCTGTGGCTGACAGAAATCTGCCCACACCATGTAATTGCCAAAAAATAATAAAGATTTGATTTCAAATATATACTTGCATGACAATTTAACAGTTGATTGATAAATAATTATTTATTTTTTCTCTGTATCCCAAAGACTGTTTTCTATGTGACTGGCAGCAGAGGACATGAAGCTGGGAAACAGCTGGGTCATGTGACAGCTGTATTGTATATCTGTTAGGAAAAAAGGTACTTAGATGTTATTTGTTTTTTAATAATTACAGTGCCAGCATCCTTATACAGAAAGAGAAGGGATAATGTAAATTAAACAGTATGTGTTTAGTATCACCTTAAATGGATTTTGCTTTTTAATGATTAGCAATACAACACAGCAAGTTGTCTGGTGAACTGTCTTATGCCTACTGTATCTGTGAAAATTAAACTAGCTCCTTTATTTTGTCAGCAAGTTATAAAGCTGTTCAGCTTCTTGTAGACCTCCATTATATAAGTACTATATAAAGGTTGATGTTAATGAACAAATGCGCAATGTGCTTTATAATGCCTCGCCAATTATAATGGTAACTACTGAAGAAGTCAATTGCACATCTACACACTTTTATGCACTTTACATGTGCAAACACAATCTTTAAACAAATTGAACACGACGAGAGCAGTTATAGGCAATAATTTAAAGTAACCAATCAAAAATCAGATTGTAGTAATTTGTTGTTGGCAAACTCATTACATATGGAGTTAGATTGGTTGTTGTAGTTTACTGCATGTGCCTGTTTTTTTATGTCACTATACACCCATAATAAGATGCTGGTACGTATGACAAGGACAGTAATCGAAGGAGATAAATAAGTGATTGGCAATCCCAAGCAATTTTGTATATTGGATGAGTGGAGACTGGGTGGATAAGCAGAACCTTGGACCTTTATCATTCATAGTAAATTAATTGAGACACAGCTTAGGCCAGTAAGCCATAGCTATTATGAAGGGGTTAGTCACAGGTGGAGTTAAAGGCCTACAGAGGGATATTAGACAAAACTGAGTGGCTTTTAATTTCTTTCTAACGAGATGTTGAGGCTGGGGAGCCAGAGACAGATACAACTCAGCTGGGCCTGGAAAGAGTGGAAGACGGGTGACTGAATCTTTCCAGTCTCATAACAGTGAGCTTGTGTCATTCATTGAAATACAGCCAGGTAACTGAACGATACTAAAATAATGGGGAAAATCGCATTGTGTGGCTGCAGTGATAATCAGCTTAAAGGTTTATTCCTCTCTGCTCATTGCTTCTATCTACAAAACAGGGGGTCTGTTATTTTACAATAATTTTCTCCACGCTAAGGGATTTTTACATTGTGTTCCTTGATGACTAAGGTATTAAGTCAAAATAAAACAATGCACATTTTACTTTTGTACTAGCATCCAAAATAGAACTTCAAGCACTATTTGAGTTACGTTTGACATTTCTCCAAGTTGTTACTGGTCATTAAATTTGCTTCAGATGAGTTGTAAGTGAGATGCTGGCTCTTACTTTAAAGAGTGTAATGCCATTGTTTCTGTGTGAATTCATTTCCATATGGAAAACAAATACTTATCTCAAAGGATTTAACAACAACACCTAAAGTAACTGCACATCAGAAAATCATCCATATTTTTGCTAGGCAGTTACACTTCTTTGGTTGCAAAAACCAGCAGGATTATTTTTAAATTCTGGTAAAGATTTAGATTTGTAAGATCACATGACGCTATCTGGATGGGTAGCAGACCCTGAAGTTGTCCTAATTTAAGAAATATAAAGTAGTGTCAGACACTACTTGGGACTGGATTGGGACCAGGAAGTCATTGTACAGAGAAAAGTATGGCTATAACAATGGCCATGTATTTTATGCCAATTTTAGGATGCTTACCTTTATCTTCAGAAAAAACAATTGCACAGAACTAAACAGTCCTAGCAACTTATTGAAACAATGGACAAGAGATTCAAATTGTAATCATTTATAATCCGCGCTCTGACACTACCCATAAGTGACAAACTTTGTTAAACTATACAAAAAAAATTAAAAAATTGAGCTGCTGCTGCTTTGAGAACGGCCAGTGGTAGGGACGAAACACGTTAGATATGAGTAGCTGGTGACATAATTTCCAGCAGGTGGAATGCACGCCGATGCACTACTTCTGGTCTGATGTTTGTATGCTTTTTTATTTGCTATTACATGTGAGTAGAACACAATTTTTTTTTTTTTTCCAAAAAAAATAATGTTTATTGTGAAATACAGATTGACATAATAAGCTAAGATAAACATGAAATGTGAGAAAGACAATTAGCAACACACACATCCAGTCAAGAGTGCATGAAAACAAGTACAATTACAAAAACAAAGCAGTGTGGGGTAACTAAACCACGACACGGTAGTGCCTGAAATACATTAGGACGCTTGTAATGAAACGCGTTAGGCCAGGAGGCCCCAGACCTCCTCTGATAACGTCACAAAGTGTGGATCTGCAGCGGGGAGAAGAGCGCAAACGACGTCTAAGCCAGAGTCAGTGCTATAAGTTGAAAGTGGTGGAGGCGTCTGAGCGCGGATGTGAGAATGTGTGATCAAGTATACTGCTAGTATGAAAGGGGAAGTGATTCTGTCATCATAGCTAATTGTCCTTTGGGTAGTTGACCAATGCATGCAGAGGTTAGTCTGAAATGAAGAAAAGAAGCCATAGAGCGGAGAAAAACAAAAAAAGAAAGGGGGGGGGGGGAGAGTAAGAGAGAGAAGAACAAAACAAAACAAAACAAAATAAAAACAAAACAGGGGGGGGGGGAAAGGAGCAGCACAGGGGGTGGGCAAATGAGAAAGGGAATAACAGAGTGATTGTTATCCATACGGTGATACAGTCGCCAAACCTACAAAATTCCAGCCTGTCATCAGAATCGGTCGGTTGGGGGAGGAGGACAAACGGGGGTAATCTGCCCCCACAGAGTCAAACAAGAGAGAGTAG